GCTGATTAGTAAGTTTTTCAAATTCTTAGGCCTTCACAGCAAGATAGAAACTACCCAGAACCCCTCACTGAATTATTGTTGAGTCTACATATTTACACTGAGAGCTGGAGAACCAGCAACAAGCAACAGATCATTTATGTCTCCTTGTTCTCCATCACACACACAACCTCTGATCCTTTTTTTTTCCCTCCCCTCAGGCCGTCGTAGCCGTGGTTCTTCAGGCCGTGACTTCAAGGTGACAACCGTGAGGAGCAGCCCCAGTCTTTCCAGCACTGCTGGCAACGTGGGATCTCTTGCCAGCCGCTCACTTAGCAGGAGCAATCTCCCAAACAGGCCATGGAAATAAGCAGCAGTGTCTTCTTCCACTGAATAAATGAATGTCCAGGCTCTGGGGAACCCTGAGCAGTGCAGCCCAGTCTGTTGTTTTAGGAATCCACAGAGAAAAGCGGCCGTGGGATATAAATAGCAGCTCGGGTAAGGCTGAGGGAGCTGGAACAGTTGATGTTTTGTAGCAGCAGGAACAGGATCACTTTGGTAAGGCTGATTTTTTAGGTCCAGTGTTAGGATGGAGTTGATAAAACTGATTTTTTTTTTTTTAGAGGGGAGGGAGGAAACTTGATAGTAAAACCTGTGACCAGTAGAAACTGTTCTGCTGAGCTTGTAGTTCAGATGAATGAATTTGTGTCTGGAACAAATATTCCCTCTGTGCTGTGCACGGATCTGCAGACTTTGTGAACAGAAGAACACATGTGAAGGTAAACAAGCCAGAAATCATCTGTGAGCAAAAAAAAAGCCTTGATTTCTTTTTTTTGTAGCAGAGATACAGACATTCAGCAACTTGCCAAAATGTTGGAGGGAGGATTCCCTACATTGTTGTTTTGGGGGGGGGATTTAATTATGTTAAAGAACAGAAGTATTTGTAATAAAGATGTTTTTGGAAATAATGCCCATTGTGGCACTGTAACCTGACAACTTTACTCATGGACACTTTGTGAAACACTTCTGTATTTTTAAAGGTGAGTTGGGGGAGAAAATAACTGTGTTTTCCCTCCTTGTCTAGAAAGTTTGGTTTCTCACTGTGCTTTTTCTGCTTTGTTCCTTGCTGTGGTTACAGGGAGCTCCTGTGTGGTGGGTTTGGTTTTAAATGAGATCAAATGAGAGAGAGTAAGGCTGCCAGATGTGCTAACCAGGACTTTAGCTGACATATCTTAGGGCAAAATCATCTGCTGTGCCCATCTCTGTGGTGTGCAGGCTGAGGGTCTCCTTAGTTCTGCTGTGCACTGGTGGTTTGCTCCTTTCCTGACTTCTCAGAGCAGGTTGCTGGTCACTGGAGCTGCAGAAAACAACGTACCTGGAGGAATCAGTCACTCTTCTGCCAACAAAGCTGGTTCCCTTAACCTCCTACAGGCAGCTACGAGTCAAGGTTGGGAGGCAGAACATCATTTTGGCTTCATAAAATGCTTTTGTGACACTTGAAGGCAAACTGTGTTCTTTAGTAAAGCAGCTCTGTGGTTCCAGTGCCTGATAGAGGCTGGAAATTTATTCCCAGTTACACCCTTGCCCGTGTTTTTGGGGTAACTTCTTTAAGGTTAGAGTGGCTGAAGGGAAATTTTCTTCTGCCCTCTCACCAGGGTCCATAAAACCTCACAGGGACCATGAATCTGGTAACTGAACAGGGTGTGAAGATCTTGGAGAAAACAAGTATCACAGCTTTCATCAAATTAGTGCTTCCACCACACCAGTATGGGCTGGGTCACCTAGAAATCATCTGAAACTACCCAGTGACAAAGTGGAGTTGTCTGCTAGAGACATCATAGGTGGTTCATCCATCAAAGAACCTACAAATCCATCAAAGAACCTACAAATCCATCAAGATGATGGCAAAGTACATTCAGTTCTTCTTTTGATGCCCTGCATTTGGAGGATCTCAAGCAGCTTGGACTAGTTTTCTTCATCTATTGCAGGAGGTTTTCATGCAGCCCAGAGCAGGCAGGGATTTTGGATGTCTCCCACAGCTGGAGAGGAAAATCAGGACTTGAAGCCAACACACATGATCCCAACACTCATCTCTGTTTTCAGACAGATGCATTATGATAGAGTCATCAAATGTTGTGAGTTGGAAGGACCCACAAGGATCATCCAGTCCAACTCCTGGCCCTGCACAGGACAAGCCCAACATTCACACCATGTCCCTCAGGGCCTTGGCCAAATGCTGCTGGAATCTTGTCAGGCTTGGTGCCATGAGCACCTCCCTGGGGAGCCTGTGCCAGTGCTCCACCACCCTCTGGCTGCCTCAAGAACCTTTTCCTCATGGCCAACCTCACCCTCCCCTGCCACATCTTCCTGCCATTCCCTCTGCTCCTGGCATTCGTTGGTGGCCAGAGAGAAGAGATCAGCACCTGCCCCTCCTCTGCCCCTTGTGAGGAAGTTCTAGACCCCCATGAGATCTCCTCTCAGTCTCCTCTTCTCCAGGCTGAACAAACCAAGTGCCTTCAGCCTCTCCTCACACCCTTCCCCTCTAAACCCTTCCCCAATGTTGTGTCCCTCCTCTGGACACTCTCCAGCAGCTTTAGATCCTTTTTCTCCTGTGGTGCCCAAACTGCCCCCAGTGCTGGAGGTGAGGCCGCCCCAGTGCAGAGCAGAGCGGGACCATCCCCTCCCTGGCCTGGCTGGCAATATTTTATAATTTATTACAACCATGACAACATTTTCATGTGCTCGTGGAGTTGAAGTATCTCCTGCCTGCCCCCAAGGTGGGACCCTGCGTGCTCTACCCGTCCATCTTTCAAGCGCATAGTAAACAGTTGGCTCAGCTCTCCTGGGCACATCCAGTTAAACCCATCAGGTGGTATCATTTTTCAGGCAACCCCTTAGACCATCTACAAACTAAATTATGGGGGAGATGCTGCTACATTCATTATTTTTATTTCATAGAATGGTTTGGGTTGGAAGGGACCTGAAAGATCATCCAGTTCCAACCCCCCTGCCATCAGCAGGGACACCTTCCACTAGACCAGGTTGCTCAAAGCCTCATCCAACCTGGCCTTGAACACTTCCAGGGAGGAGCAACCACTTTCTTCTACCCCACACTATTTTCATCCCCTTTTAATCCCCATTTTGGGTCACTGGGCCAAAACATGCTGGTTTTTTGGCCGCTGCCACGTGTGCCCAGAGGAGCATTGAGTCAATCTCCAAAAAACAACCCCAAAACAAACCAAAAAAGCCATTTCTGATCCTTCTCAGATTTATTTATTGCTTTTTTTCTACCCCCACAGCTAATTCAACCATGGCTTGGGCTCCTGATCCTTTAGTAGGGATGGTCCACCGTGTATTGCATGATGACCTTCAGCGCCAGCCACGTCTCCTGGGCGGTCGGGACGATCTCTTTGGCGGGGAGCAGGAACCCGTAACGCCCCGTGTCCCTCAGCTCGAAGGTGAAGGAGTATTTAATACCCTGTTCATAGGTCCAGTCGATGGTTCCTCCACTGGCTTTATCTGGAGAAACAACCAGAGGGATGTGAAATGTTGGTCGCTCTGCGTCATACGGGTGTTTCATGGGACCTTTTGGTGAGGTGTGAGGGATGATTTGGGTTTCTTTTGGGGGGGAATTGTTGTTTCTCCACCTCCCTGTTACTTACAGATGGTGGTGATGATGCTGCCGTACTTGTATTTAGTGCCGTACAGAGAAGACAGAGCTGCCACCGCTTTCTCGGAAATCTCGTGCTGGGAATAGACAGGAGAGAGAGAGATGAGGTAGAGAAGGGGAAAGCTGGTGAGATACAACCTGCAGGAGAGGGTTTGTGTTAGTGCTTCAGGCAAAAGTGCTTCCTGGAGAAAAGGAGGCTGAGGGGAGACCTTGTGGCTCTGTCCAAGTCCCTTGGAGGAGGGTGGAGAGAGGTGGGGGTGGGTCTGTTCAACCAAGGCCCAAGGGACAGGCCAAGAGGAAATGGGCTCCAGTTGTGGCCAGGGCAGTTGAGATGGGATGTGAGGAAGAATTTCTTTGCTGAAAGGGTTCTGAGGCATTGGAAGGGGTTGCCCAGGGCAGTGGTGGAGTCCCCATCCCTGGAGGGATTGAAGAGTGGTGTAGACACAGTGCTGAGGGACATGGGTTAGTCATAGGGGACTGGTCAGTGATGGGTTTATGGTTGGACTCGATGATCTTGAAGGGCTTTTCCAGTCTGGGCAATTCTGAGATTCTTGGGCCAAGATGCCCAAGCTCAGTCCCCTTGGCCTGGGGTTCTGGCAGAGGAGCCAGGGCTTCTTCCTGGCTTGCCAATGCCCCCTTCATGATGCACAATGAAGGTTGCTCCTCCTTGGATGAGGAGAGCAGCCTTGCATCAACCCAACCCTCTTCCAACCTTCCCATCAGCCCTACCAGTTCCTTCTGGTCAGGCACTGGGGTGGTGGTGTAGCCGTAGGGGTAGAGCAGGAGCTGGGAGTAGCTGTGGATGGAGACGAAAGCCTTGATGTTCCCGTGGCTCTTCACAAAGTCTACGATGGCCTTCACCTCGGGCTCTGAGTTGGCGTAGGGTCCATGGTACGTCTCTGAGCAGGGGTTTCCACTGGCCCCAGACCCTGTGGAGAGATGAAAACACCATTTGGTGGCTTTGGTGGCAGTTGAGTGGTTCAGAAAGTCACAAAGGCAAAGGGACTTCTCCATTTCCAAGCCCAAGAACTTTTCCCAGCCCTCAGCTGCTTGGTGGCCAGCAAGGAACACTCTTGGGGCTCCTCCTAGATGTTTGCATGATGGTTTTCACTTGTGATCCCCACCACTTTGGTCACTAGGGGACACCAAAACCCTGGTGGAAACCAAACCCACATCTCTGCCAGGGAGAGCAAATCTCATCCCTTCCCCAGGGGACATCAGTGGATCTTTCTGAGCCAGAAATGGCCTCAGAGCTTCCACTTGGAAGGTGGAACCCCCCAACAGGGTGAATGGGAGAGGTCTCACCTCCAAAACCTGCGTCCCAGTTGCGGTTGGGGTCCACACCGACGCAAATGCTTGAGTGCTTGGACCTGGTCTTGCGCCACATGCGATTCTAGAAGAGCAGAACCATCTCAGCTGGTTTCCAGGGCTGGAGTTCCACCAGCCTGGAGCAAACAGAGGGGCTGAGGGATCACAGTGCTCCCCTTCCCACCCCATGAAAATGTAGACAAGGAGAATTTGAGCTTTCAGGAGCCTCCATGTGCAGCACCCCAATCCTGGTTCCAAACCCCACCCAGCGTGGCCATAGGAGGTCGGGAGAGGAAAGCTGGGGTGATACCTGGCTTTGAGTGAAGGCGAAGCCATCTGGGTTGGTGACAATCTCCAGGAAGATGTCCATCTTGTCCAGGATGGAGGCCAGACCTTCGTCATTCTCATGATCCTGGACAATCTAGAGAGGAGAGCAGTTTTGAGGCTCCCTGGTGCTGCTGAAGGGCTCTCTGTAGGGTCAGCCACCCATCATCCATGATGGCTCTAGGACCTGGTGGCCCTCTGGGGATGTCCAGGAGGTCCCTGTACCTTCTTGGCGAACCAGACACCGCTGGCCTGTGTCACCCACTCGCGGGAGTGGATACCGGTGTCAATCCAGATGGCCGGGCGGTTCGTCCCACCTTTGCTGAACTGGAAGAGCAGAGAGGGGTGGGTCAGCTCTGCTCCTGTCCCCAATCCCCCCCCCTCCAATCACCCCATGAACCCCCAGATCTTCACCTTGAGCACGTAGATGGGGCGGTTCTCCGTTGACCGGCCGATCTCAATCTTGCTGACCAGGTGTGAGTTTTCAGCCACCAGCAGGTCCATGAAGGCGTAGATCTGGAGGTGGAGGAGAAGGATTTGGAGGTGACACTTGGCTCATCCCCTGCTCTTGGTGCACATGGAGCAAAGGGCTTTGCAAGGACAAATCCAGTTGTGGATGTCCCCTCCCTGGAAGTGTTGAAGGCCAGGTTGGATGAGGCTTTGAGCAACCTGGTCTAGTGGAAGGTGTCCCTGCTGCTGGCAGGGGGGGTGGAACTGGGGGAGCTTTAAGGTCCCTTCCAACCCAAACCAGTCTGGGATTCCATGATTCCCCCAAAATACCCCAAATCTCGTGCTTTCTCACCTCGTCCAGGCTGTGGTAACTGGCATAGTTGAAGGTGTTGGTGGAAAGCGGCAGCCAGCGGCGTTCACGAAGCATCTCCATCTGCTCATCGTCCACCAGCGCCTGGGGAAGAGGGATCAGGATGAGACCTCAGCCTCTGCTGTGCCAAGACCCCACGTCTCACCCCTTCCCTTCCACCACCGCTGACCTGCACGTCCTCGATCATGATGGAGTAGGAGATGCCGTTGGCCTCCAGGTGGGCTTTGAGGGGCTGCAGGCTGGGGAAGGGCACGCGGACATCGACCGGGTGCCCGACACCACGAGTTGCCAACCAGAAATCCAGCTGGAGGGGGTGAAAGCAAGATGGGGGGGTCAGATCCAGCTTTGAGCTGTCCCCTCCTGCACCATCTTCTCTCTTGCTTTTCACCAACTGGTTCCCATCATCCCATATCCAGCCCCCCCCAGCCACATCCCTGCTCTACAGCTTGGCTTGGGGGGGTGCAAAGGATGGGACACAGGCTCTGGGGGTGTCCCCAAAAGCCACCCCAGTCATTGCACACAGTACCTGCAGGTCCTCAAGGTCCTGCAG